AAGTTGGTCTGGAACCCAATAACAAGTTAATATTCTCAATAGAAGGAATGAAGATAAGATTTACTTTGACACAAAAAAGTTAACTATTTTAAATTGATGGAATGAAGATATGATTTACTTCGTAAAATTTCATACAGCGTATCAAGAATATGGAATTCTACACTATGTCAATGGTAAACATATCAAGCATATGCACTTCAAAGTTAGTAAAATTACCTCAAGCATAACAGATATAAAATAGAGGAGAGGATTAGTAGGCCTCAAAAGTTGTAACGAAGCTGTGAATCCCTCAACTGAGGTTGTAGAGAAACCATTTTCACCAGGTTCACATTTACGAAAAAACGACTTCTCAAACACAAAAGCACTTCCAACCGTGTTCTCTGCTAAATCGAGCGAACTCAAGTTTCTAACTATCTTCAAAAGAACAAGCCCTTTATCCAAGACAAGGTTTTGTTTGGCTGCCAACAGAGTCAAGAGCATCAAGCAGCATCTGAATAGCAAACTCACCACTTCCACAGCTACAAATAAACTTGAATTCAAGCTATACGGACCACAATCCTCGTCAGCATAATTGACACTCAAATTTGAGAATAATCTTTCAAATCTTTCCTCAAGTTGTTTAAAGAGTATGTTACAGATCTCAGAGATATCACCAAAAGTCACCGTGATCCCATCGTGATGAAATTCTAGGTCAAAATCAAGCGAACCTGCTGAAGACTTAACGGCCCATTGTGCATTAGACGAAAATTTTGAGAAAATTCGGTACAAATTTTTCAAGAATGGTGGTCTCATTCCCTGAAAGTATTGATACACGGAGTCAGCATAGAAAACTAGATTCCAAATTGCTAGCCCTAGTTTCTGAGCCCAGCCCTAATCAACTTGGAAACACAAATAAGGCAAGTAAAAATTCTAGATAAAGAGTAATGTACAAATCATTTGGCTTCGCCAGGAAATAAAAATTCTAGATAAAGAATAATGTACAAATTATTTGGGTTCACCCGGAAACTGAGGCACAGCACGGATGAAAAA